CCATACACGTAGTAACGACACAAAGGTCTCGGCACAAACATCTCGTTCGAAGAACAAAATACAAATACGGGAATAACACGATAGAAAGGCCGAGATTATAATAAATAAATATGAGAAGGAAGAGAGAGCGCAGACGCAAAATCAATTGCTCAACTTCAAAATCAGAGGAGAGTAAATCGGATCGAGTAAATTGGTATCATTCATTAAGTTAATGCTTTGTTTCTGCATCTTAATATGCAGCATCTCCGATATTAGTCTTTTATGATAATGCTGCTCTCTAAATGAATAATTTCATTTTATTAAGTTTATTTATTTTACTGCCACTAACTGCAGTCTAAAGGCAGGAAGGTCTAACTATATTTTAATTTATTATTTTACTGCCATTTTTCCAATTAAATTGTTTCTATTATGTTTGTTATAGTTTTTTGTTCGCGAGAGCTCGTTGCGCTGCTGTTGTTAAATGAAATATCTGCAAACGATACATTTTTCTTCGGAGGTGACTGATTAATCCGTTGATATTGATTATTATTATTATTATTGTGTCGTAATGGTGTTGAATGTTTTGGTAAAACAGAGGATGTTTGAGGCAAAGCGTCCATTGGTTCTTCCGCGTCGTGAAATAGTTCTCTCATTTCCTCGTCGTCCTCTTTCTCCTCTTCCCTTTCTTCACCAGTCACAGCAGTTGTTTCCGCCACGGATGGATCTTCTTCTTTGCGCTTTCTCGCTTTTTGGATAAAATATAGATATCGACGAAATACTTCGCTGTACAATTTCCATTTGTTACCTTCATCAACAGGGGAATCGAGAATACGTCTCATCTCCGCGTCGAGACGCGAGAGCACGGTTCCGGGAGTGCGTGTGATATTAGCAGTGGTATATTCTCTTGCCATTCGGTGTTACATTCTTTCGAGATTATCCGTGGAAATCAGCACTATTTTTTTAGCCCGTTCCATGATTACTCGATAATTCGAGATAAGAAAGCTGAGAGTATGGGCCCGATGATGTACGGTAAAAAGCCTCCTTGTTGCACCAGCAGGTTTCTCTTGCACCTCCAAGTACCTTTTTGTTCCGCGATACGTCGCAGCGCCGTTTTGTATCGGATTAAGCGGTTCTTCTCTCTTTTTTCGAGCGGTACATTACCTCTGAGCGTATTGTGTACACACTCGCGAATACACGCGATGAATTTGTTATCAGCGTTTCGCAGAAAAGAAGCGCGTTGATTTTTATTTAGAAGACACAGAGCTTTTAGTAGACAGATGTTTTTTCCACCGAGAGAGCGCTTAGCTCTAATATGNGCCTTTTGTTGCTTCTTCCGCTCCTTCGTCGGCATCGTAGCTTCAAATGATGCCCTTCCCTCGAGTGCTTCGGGTTTTTATACTATTCGTTTGTTTTCACGCGAGGGATCTGCGGGGTACGTACACGTAATGACGCGGATCGTTGGGAAAGATGCACGTTCGAAAACGATATTTGTCCGGTGTTGATTGTTTCAAATCGAACAGTAAATAACCGTGAGGACGCGAAGTGGCGTCGTAGTACGCTTCTTCCAAAAACTTTGCGTCGTCGGGATAAACTTGACGCGCGAAATGGCGAATTTGCGCGCGATTGCGCGGGTTCTTGAAAAGCACAATGTAATTCGCATTTAGCGAAATATCGTGTTGACCGCGTCCCTGATGAAAGAGATTTTGTGAAATAAGTATAACGCTAAGATTTTTATGATGGCTACTCTTGGTAAACAATTCAACGATCACTTCGCACGACGACGATTCTCGCATAAGATCGTCGATTAGTATTAATTTCGCACAAAGCGGGTCGTTCGAGTAATCTTCCGGGCGGGGTAGTCCTTCGCGAAATTTGATTTTACATTTTTCCATCTCGCGTTGCAACTCGAGATAGGCTTCTTGCCACTCGCCGTAATAAAATAAAATTCTCCCGAATTGAATAGTCGCCATTTTCGGCAAATAACGGAGAAAAGTTTTTACAAAAATTGTATGTATGTATGTATGTATGTATATTGTTTATTGCTTTCCGACAAACCGGATTTACAAGGCGTTTTTTGAAGAAACGTACCCAAAACTTTACAGACTCTCGCCGCTTATCTCTAACTTATTCTATCTTAATTTAACCTTACTTACTCTAACTTAACCTAGTTTCACAAGATGACGAGGCCGCGTGTCTCCACCCCTTTTCACCCCACACACATACACCCCCTTTCGGGCTTCCGTTTCCTTTCGCCTTTCATGACCAGTTTTTCCCCCTCTTCCCCTCTTCGTCTCCTCACAAACCCTGTCATCCTTCCATCTCCTTCCTTTCACTCTCTCTCCTTCCACATTCCAGCAGTCATTTCCCTTCTCCCACTACACTCTTTCCTCTTCTCCTTCTCCCTACCCCTCTGAGTCCTCTCCTCTCCCTCCCTCCAACCCTCTCCTTTCTCTTTCCAACCCTTTCATGTCTTTACAAAAATTGTTTTCTCGCATCTCGTAGGACCGCAAACGATTGACGTCCAGGGATGTTTCCAGCGCACGTCCATTTCGAAGACACTGCAAATTGCCGCTTGTATAACTCTTAAATTAAACTGTTTTTGGTTTGCGATGAGCTCACCATCGCGCGTCGGGCCCCGCGGCTGCCGCGTTTTGCCGCGAAAATCAGCTAAGTTTCGTCGCGGCAACGATGAGCTTATTCCGAATGATTGAAAAGCTGTTTTCATGAAAAATCAGCTTATTGTCGCCCGTGCAAAAATAAGCTTGTCAAACGCGCGCGCCAATATAAGCTTATAGCTTTTTGTTGAGGTTATATCAAAAAGTTTCTAAGGATAAAAGAAAACAGAGATCGGGAAAAAGCAATCTTTTAATTTTGTTTTTAATAAAAATTTAATAACACTAAAATATTACGTTTTACAAAATGTGTACATATTGCTTAATCTACTAACATGTACAAAAACCTCGCATTTTATAACCTTATTTTTTACACACGGTTGTTAAAATAACATATATTTTTCTTTTATTGTACAAAGCGCTTGTTTACATTATGACCTATTTGGACGGAAAACATATATACAATTTTAACTCTTACTAATACGTTTAAAATATACAAACTATTTACAAGAGGATGCGCGGAAAAAAGTCTTATTCTAAGTAGCCGTATGGAACGGAGCGTCGCTCGTCGATAAATCTACGTTTCAGCGAAACCGGCGAGCAGATTTTTGATTCGTCCCGCGTCACAATCTCGTGAAACGCGGTGCGACGAATCGCTCTAAAATGCAGATTTATCGACACATTTTTTTCTTTTCTTTCTCTTCTCATTAACATTTCTCTAACGCTATTGAAATTAATTATGCGGGAGGTTGCGGAATTGAGAGTTATTCCCTTGATTTTACACACCTCCCGCGCGCCACCGTCCGGAGTACGAACTACGTACGCGTAAAATTTCGGGCCATCGGATACAAACGACTTGATGTAACTATTACGGCCGTAGACTTCGAGCTTGTCCGTCATATCGTCCAGGAAATTTTCCGTACGCGGTTTGTATTCGCCGGGTTCTCCGCTGCTCACATAAATACACGAATCTGTATCGTAATAAAGAACGAGCTCGCCTAAACTTTCTAAATATTCGTACAGTTTCAATCGCGTCTGTACCGTCGTGTACGCCGCTATTATCACGTTGGTAATCGGATAAGGCGAATACGACCGCTTCGTTCCGCATTTGCCACGAAACATATATTACCTCGTCATTCACAGGTAATATATCGGTTACCTCGTGCTCGGGGCTCGACAATAGCGATACGAGACGTTCTTGTGACTTTACCACCTCGGTACTCGTCAAGTTCGATCGGTGCCCGAATTTTCCCCAAAACGAATTGAGGCACCCGGGAAAAAATGGATTAAATCTAAATAGATCTAATTTAAATCTAACAAGATAAAAAAAATGGAAAAAGAGATCTAATTACATCTAAGTAGATATAAAGTTGATCTAAACAGATATAAATAGATCTATGTAAATTTACACTT